AAAAATTAATATATATATATGTATTTCAGTAAGGAAAAAAAGTAGCGAATATTTAAGATTTGTAGCGTTCGAAAAATAATAAGTAGCCCAAAAAGTAGCAAGTAGCGAAAATTCAATTTTCAGTAGCGGGGACTTTTAAAAGTAGCCCAATCCGCTACTTGTAGCCCAATCTGGCAACACTGCATCCAAGCTCTTGGCGATAGCATTTGTTTGGCAATCAGCCAAACAAATGTGTTTGGCATTTCAGCTGATTGCCAAAGTTTAGGGTTATAAAACGGCTGGCATTCAAGACAGTGTAATAAGCTTCATCCCATCTTTCAACCTACAATAGTCCCGCAGTGCACTGATCGTTAAGACACGATTCCCAACAGATCACCGAAGTCAAGCATCACTGGCTGCGGTCAGTGTGTGGATGGGTGACCACTTGGATCAGTCTGCGTAGGGACCAAGGGTGTGCGGTATTGGTCCTCGTTAAACTGTTCTACCGTAAAGTGCTCGACTTTGCGTGGAGGTCGTCGGACTACCAAAGCGGGGGTGCCATCCCCTCTGCGGAGGATCAAAATTGTAATCGCATGTCTTCGGATCATCCTCCGGGATGTTTCCCAGACCGTCGCCAATAGCCCATTGCGCAGCTCTATTGCGACGTAAATGAGCAAAACAAACAATCTGCAATAAGCGAGCTATAAGCGTAACCAAGCACAGAGCTCTGAAAATGCTCGACAGTAATCATCAATCAAACAATCTAAACAATCCGAGCTTATAATTTGTGCATCATGTTAAATAGCAATTCTTGCTTTAATATGTGCGAAATATATGCATTGATTTTAGTTTGTGTGCTCCAAGATACTTACACAATGTTTGTCGAAAAGACATGGGCAATGAATGGAAAAGAATAATTATTATAAGCATTAAATGACAAAAAGTTTTTTTAAAATAATGTGAAAGCGTAATTTCTATAAACTGTTTCAGATCTTGTTTATATGTCACAGTCTTAAACTTATTTATGTGAAACATGCAATCAGAGTTTTTCATAGAAAAGTCATCGAACTGACCACAATAATGGTTGACTGGTTTAAAATCCAACTCTTATAATATATGTAACATGAGTTTTCACCAAAATTAATATGCCTGAATACTGTCGTGTTGATATTAGTGAAAAACCTTTCTCTTTTATTATATGTAGTAGGAGTTTTTCTTTTTCAATAGCGATCTAACTAAGCATAGTACTTTTCATGCTGGTGTAAAGCCTCATTCTTGTTGTACATGTAACAAGAGTTTTTCATATATTAGTTACAGGACTTACACTTAACACAGTTCATGTTCACACTGGGATGTAACATTATTTTTGTTGTATATGCTATGAGAATTTTTCATGCAACAGTAATCTGACAAAACACAGCTGATGTTCATACTAATGAAAAACCTGATTCTCATAGTAATAAGAGCTTTTCATCAAAGAGTGATCTGATTAAGTATAGTTGCGTTCATACTATTGTGAAGTCTTATTCGTGTAGTATATGTAACAAGAGTTTTTCATAAAGAATTCGTCTGAGTATACACAATCCTGTTCACACTGGTGAGGGATTTTTACCCTGTAGTTTATGTTATAAGAGTTTTCCCCATAGAAGTAATCTGACTACACATAGTTATGTTCATACTGGGGAGAAACCTGATACTTGTAGTTTATGTAATAAGAGTTTTTCACAAAAAAGTCATCTAACTGAACACAGTCGTGTTCACACTGGTGAGAAACTTTATTCTAGTATGTAACAAGATTTTTTGCAAATCAGTCGTCTGACCAAACACAGTCATGTTCACACTGGTGAGAAACCTTATTCTTGTTGTTTATTAATATGAGTTTTTCAGAAAAAAATCACGTAACTGAACACAGTCGTGTTCACACTGGTGAGAAACCTTATTCTTGTAGTTTATGTAATCAGAGTTTTCGCTGTAGAAGTAATCTAACTACACACAGTTATGTTCATACTGGTGAGAAACCTTATTCTTGTAGCATATGCAACCAGAGGTTTTCGCAAAAAAGTATTCTAATTTACCACAATCGTGTTCACACTGGTGAAAAACCTTATTCTTGTAGTATATGCAACAAGAGTTTTTCACAAAATAGTGATCTGACTAAACACAGTCGTGTTCACTCTGGTGAGAAACCTTATTCTTGTAGTATTTGCAACAAAAGTTTTTCTCGAAAAAGTACTCTAACTGACCACTATCATGTTCACACTGGTGAGAAACCTTATTCTTGTAGTATATGCAACAAGAGTTTTTCAAAAAATAGTGATCTGACTAAACACAGTCGTGTTCACTCTGGTGAGAAACCTTATTCTTGTAGTATATGCAACAAGAATTTTTCGCGAAAAAGTTATCTGACTAAACACAGTCGTGTTCACAGTGGTGAGAAACCTTATTCTTGTAGTTTATGTAATCAGAGTTTTCGCTGTAGAAGTAATCTGACTACACACAGTTATGTTCATACTGGCGAGAAACCTTATTCTTGTAGCACATGCAACCAGAGGTTTTCTCGAAAAAGTACTCTAACTGACCACTATCATGTTCACACTGGTGAGAAACCTTATTCTTGTAGTATATGCAACAAGAGTTTTTCACAAAAAAGTGAGCTGACTAAACACAGCCGCGTTCACACTGGTGAGAAACCTTATTCTTGTAGTATTTGCAACAAAAGTTTTTCTCGGAAAAAAACTCTAACTAACCACTATCGTGTTCACACTGGTGAGAAACCTTATTCTTGTAGTATATGCAACAAGCGTTTTTCGAAAAAAGCTAAGCTGACTGAACACAGCCGTGTTCACACTGGTGAGAATCCTTATTCTTGTAGTATTTGCACCAAAAGTTTTTCTCGAAAAAGTATTCTAACTGACCACTATCGTGTTCACACTGGTGAGAAACCTTATTCTTGTACTATATGCAACAAGAGTTTTTCGCAAAAAAGTCATCTGGCAAAGCACAGTCATGGTCACACTGGTGAGAAACCTTATTCTTGTAGTATTTGCAACAAAAGTTTTTCTCGAAATAGTACTCTAACTAACCACCATCGTGTTCACACTGGTGGGAAACCTTATTCTTCTAGTATATGCAACAAGAGTTTTTCGAAAAAAGCTAAGCTGACTGAACACAGCCATGTTCACACTGGTGAGAAACCTTATTCTTGTAGTATTTGCACCAAAAGTTTTTCTCGGAAAAGTCATCTAACTGACCACAATCGTGTTCACACTGGTGAGAAACCTTATTCTTGTACTATATGCAACAAGAGTTTTTCGCAAAAAAGTCATCTAACTATCCACTATCGTGTTCACACTGGTGAGAAACCTTATTCTTGTAGTATATGCAACAAAAGTTTTTGGCAAAAAAGTCATCTAACTGAACACAGTCATGTTCACACTGGTGAGAAACCTTAGTCTTGAGTATATGGAACAATAGTTTTTCGAAAAAAAAGTGATGTGACTAAACACACTTGTGTTCACACTGGTGAAAAACCTTATTCTTGTAGTAAATGCAACGAAAGTTTTTCGCAAAAAAGTGATCTGACTAAACACAGCCGTGTTCACAGTGGTGAAAAACCTTATTCTTGTAGTTTATGTGATCAGAGTTTTTCATACAAGAATCATCTGACTAAGAAGAGTTGTGTTCACACTGGTGAGAAATCTTATTCCTGCAGTATATGTAATAAGAAGTTTTCGCAATTAAGTAATTTGACTGAGCATTTTCGTGTTCATACTGGTGAGAATCCTTATTCCTGTAGTTTGTGTAATTAGAGTTTTTCACGAAAAAGTTATCTGACTAAACACAGTCGTGTTCACACTGGTGAGAAACCTTATTCTTGTGCTGCATGTAGTAAGAGTTTTTCATGTAACACCTGATTCTTGTAGTTAATTCTTAACCTCCTATTCACCATTGACACTGCCCTAATGTGAAACACCCAGTTCCGAAACCCCTGTTTGGAAATATTGACCACGAGTCGAAAAGTGTATTTTTCATTATTTTTGGACCGTCTGTTTCCTAACTGGGGTTTTTTGAACCCGCTGTTAACTTGCACTCCTGTGTTAGATTTACAGCTTTATTAATTGTTATTGTTTTCATTTTTCGCTGATATTTTTATAACAATTTTTCTATGACAGAATTATAAATAGATTGCATTGAGTAATTAAATTTGAATTACTCTTTTACTGGACAAATGAAAAATATGTTAAGCTTTGTTTTCCTAACTGAGTTGTATGGATGAGCAAAAGGGTCTAAATATTACAGTTGGGAACCGATTATCCGGAACGGTCGGGACCATCACTATTCTGGATAACTGATTTTTCTGGTCTTCTGAATCGCTACAAAAAGCCGTTTTTTTTATTGTTAAATCCAAGTAAAAAAATAAAAAATTTGGAAATAATCTTAAAAATAAAAGAAAACGATGAAGTAATACACTAATGATTATTTCCAAAATGATGGTAAGGTAAACATCTTTAAAAAAAGAAAGAAAAATCGTAAAATCTTACGAGGTAAAAAAAATTTTTTTTTTTTAANGAGAAAATTTATCGAATTTTGTTCCGGTTTTTTGTTTTTTTGATTTCCGGATAACGGGTTCTGTACTGTATTATTATGAATTTAGATATTTTATTATTACGGATATCATAAAGCTGCACACAAACACAGAAATATTACTGAAATTCAATTAAAAATACTTTTATTTTAAACAAGGATCAAGAGAATTATGCTAACATCATTCTTATTCACATTTTTAATATTTAACATTTTATCAATAACTTAAACCATTGAGAAAAATTTTACTTTTTTAAAAACTTAAAATCATATTGTATAAAATAAAACCTCTCAGCTCAGATAAGCATAAATCAATACATTCCTATTATTCAAAAGAAGCTATAATTGTGCTGGCAGCTGCCGATCCCTGACAGTGAGAATCACTGTCAGGGATATGATGAATAAGATAAGTCAAATATCATAATCTAAACAAATATTCCAAAACTTTTAAAAAAATCATACAATCAAAATTTTTATTATTTAAATAATTGTAAATGGAAATATATCAGTTGTATATGCCCCAGATGTCATAAAGTAGCCAGGCCATATATTTAAAAAAATGTTAATTAAAGACAGCATTTTAACTTCATATAGTATTAAGCAAATAATCTCTCCCAAATGATTCTATTACAGTACAGAACCCATTATCCGGAAATCAAAAAACCGGAACGAAATTCGATAAATTTTCGTGCCATTTTTAAAAAAAAATTTTTTTTTTCCTCATAAGATTTTAGGATTTTTCTTTCTTTTTTGAAAGATGTTTACCCTTCCATCATTTTAGAAATAATCATTACAGTATTACTTCATCGTTTTTTCTTCTTTTTAAGATTATTTCCTATTTTTTTTTTTAGTTGGGTTTAACAATAAAAAAAAAACGGCTTTTTGTCGCGATTCAGAAAACCGGAAAAATCTGTTATCCGGAATAGCGATGGTCCCGATCGTTCCGGATAATCGGTTCCCTACTGTATATCCAAATATTCAGCTGATTATTTGATGGTTATAAAATTCTAAATGGTTATTAAAGTTGTTTGATGCAGATTATTGTGTAGTTAAAATGTTACCTCGCATCAAGATTTGTATTGATTACGTAATATTTATTGCAGCATAATTTTTGATGTATATTAAAATTAATGTTATTATGATTTATTGAAAATAATGTTTTTAATTTTATTAATAGATTCACTTATGGAAAAAAAAATTTAAAATGTCATTCGCTATCTTCATATCTAAATATTGCACATTATTTTGCCTGTTCATCTCTATACTATAATTTATTTTTGGGCAAGATCTATAATAATTTTATGAATTGTATTCTTTTTTAAATTTCTTTCAAGCATCGTTTTTTTTTTTTTCATTAAAAAAATATAAATAAAAGCTTGCTAAATTAGTTAGAATCTTATTACTTACACTATTTATTTGAATTATTATTATGGACACAATCTGAATTATCTACGTTTTTTTTTTCCGAGTGAAAAATTATTTAAGTGCAACAATGACTGTTAATAATAATTTGAGAAATATACATAATATCTTCTATAGAAGATATTAACCCAGTAAAATTTAGTTTTCATTTTATTAATAAGCATTTATTTGATATAAATTAATTATAGTTACATCTAGTTATAAATTGACCACACTGAACATCAAAAGTGTTAATTTTGAAAACATAAACAAATAAAAATTCGCCTACTGCGCACCTGCGGTTACTCAAACCGGGGAAATCTTGAGGTTAAAGTTAGTTGGGTCTAACTGACAAGCAGTTACGTACATAGTGAAATGAAATTTTGGAATCATAAAACATGTGGGTTTGTTTCCATGGTGAATACGGTGTCAAGTAGAATCCCTGTTAAGGATTTTTATGCTCACTGCTCTGTCCATACTGCTGACTAACTTTATTATTTTTCTAAGTTTATACAGATAATGTTTAATGTTCACAATAATTTTCATAATTACATTGTGTAACCTGGAGTCTGTCCAGGCCGAAGGAGTCTGTCCATTCACTTTAGGAAAAACGGTAGAACTTTTTAGGTAGTTTAAACCTTTTCCTTGAAATTTTATTTTTGTATCCCTTAAGAAATGATAAATCCATATTTTTGTGTTGAATTTTTAATACAATTTTTAATTTTTCACAAATTAATGTCTAAATTTTCCCAAAATAGGTACCTCTCAGAAAAACCTAGACAGATCCCTGGTAACTTTATTTAACAATTTTTATCAAAAAGTATTTTAACTATCTTGTCCAGAGCGTTTCATATAAAATCTGTTTGTGAAGAGGAACAATATTTGTTTCTTTCAATTCAGTTGGGCAGAACTGATATAAGACATTCAATATCATGAGACTTAGTAATAGGGACTTAACTATAATTGGCTGAATGTTAAGTTTTCTTAATACGACATTCTGTTTGACAGCTATCTGTAGTAAACATTTTCAGAATAATGCTTGCATATTATAACTACCAAGAAAAATTTTTTTTTATAAAAATTATTTTTATCAAGTTTTACTAGTATTTGATACAATTTAAAATTGTTTATCATAAAAGTTATATCTTATCAGAATGTTTTATACAATGTCTTAAAACTGTTACTAGAATTAATTTTTCAATGTTTTTAAAATGAATTAGGAAATAAAAGATTTAAAATAAATAAAGTATCTATCAGAATCAATAATACATTATTTAGTTTTAAGCAGATAAAATTTTATTCTATATATTTTTTTTAAATTTTAAAATCCATATTAAGGCAATGTAGAATTGAACAGAAACTAGCAAAAAATAGCCATGACTATATACAATATCATAACACTAGGCTATAAGTAGGATACGACATCCCTCTTATTTTTTTTTTAAAAAAAGGGTTTCCAATTTAAAATTTATTCTGTCCATAAGTCCGGAGTTCTACATTTTAAAGACTAAAAGTTGATGACTGGTAAAGATCTTTAAAGTGTTTACCATACTATTTTTAGTTCCTTTTAATATTATTGAAACTTAATTATATGCCCATTTATATATAGACTTATGGACATAAATTTTAGTAATTGAGAATACTTGCTTCAGTGTTAAATAATAATTTAGGGTTTCTTGCAATTTACTGAATCAACTCAAGTTATACCCACAAACACTAACTACATGAGGTAAAATTTTGTGAAGCGCTATGATTGTCGTAAATGTGGGGGTTCTCATGCATGGGAAATAAATGGTTAAAAAAAAATTTAAGAATTCATTTTATTACTGTAACAGCTATCATATCATTACAGGGGTTTCTTAATTGAAATTGGTTGAAAATAATCCTAAAAAGTTAAATTGGTTATAAAGCTTTTAATGAATATCTCATATTTCAAAATATTCATTAGTTTAAAAAGAGTACTTTCAGGGAATAAAAATTTTTTTAAATTAAAAAAAACCCCTCCTACTACACTACTGGCCATTAAGTTTTTTCTACACTACTGACCATATCAGTTAGGCGACAAACATGAAATTTGTGGGACAGATAAAGCATGTTGTGGTATGCAAATGATTAGCTTATCAATGCATTCATGCAAAGCAGGCGGCTGTAAGAGATACCTACAATGTGTATAAAAGAGATTTGACAGTAAGTTTCTCATACAAAAATTGAATTTGAGCATTGTTCTAAAAGAGTTTATGTTATGCCTCGTGTAAGAAGAATAAATGCCTACCTACACATATCCAAGTTTGAATTGTGGCCTACCAGGATTGCTGTTCATCATACCGAAGTATTGCTGCTCTCGTTGGTCGAGATCCCATGACTGTTAGCAGTTATATGAAATCGATGGGTTCACGACGGTCGCATGGAACACCATGCAGGATCTCAGTGGCCCCAAACCACTAACAGCCGAGAAGATGGGGTCATTTGCAAGACAACAAGTGTCTGCACAAACAATTCGACGACGTTCGCAGCAGCATGAACCATTGACGTTGTTAGATAAAATTTATTGGGGGGGGACCATACTTGGACTGTTAATTTCAAGTTACTTGAGGAAAAAGTTGTATATATATATATATAGATTGGTAAAAGTAACTTTTTCTTAATGTATGATGAAAACATGACATTAAACATGAAATAATTACATTTCACAATGTAGTCAATATCTTTTACTAACATTCAATGCATTATTATGAAAACTGAAACATCTTGATACTATGCAGAGTGTTCGTCCTCATCGATAATTTTAGAATCGTCTTAAAAGAATTAAATTTAAAAACAATTTTCAAATTAGGTGCTACTATTATTTAAGTACCATTTAAGCAAACTACTGTTTAAGAGAACATGAAAAAACTATTTGGAAAACTTAAGAATCACTACTAAGACAAACGGAATTGAAAACTTAAACCAGTTTGATATCATTTTATTTCATAACCGTCGTTGCCAATTCAACCCAAATTTTGGTTTACGAAGAAGGTAAGGGAACTCCTAGATCAAGTATTGGGAGAAATTTGCCATCGTGGAAGACTTCTGATGGAACTAACCTACATTTACATTACTTGAAGAGGAAAACCTTAAAAACTCCCTCTGTTAGCCTGACGGCAAGGGGACTCTAACCTATAATGCGTCCACCACTGAGGATATTTTACATCAGCAATGTGGTTGGTGCCAGACGGGAGCGGAAATTGTATCGACCGGCCATCACTGGGATTTGAATGCGGTTCACCTCATTTGAAGGTGAACGCTCTATCCCCTGCCCAAACCAGTTTGATTTTATAATCATCGTTGAACAGCCGACCCTAATTTCAGTTAAGACTACTAATGTTCAATTCCTTAGCCTTGTAATTTTGAACCGAATTCAGAAGACAAGAGAACCCCTGGATCAAGAATTGGGAGAAATTTTCCTTCAGAGAGGAGATTCCGATGAAAATAACCTGCACTTGCGTTACGTGGAGAGAAAACACGGAAACCTTCCACGGTTAGCTTGATGGCTTAGTAAATTTTATACTCTGTTCAAAGAAAAATGACAGGGGTTGCGAACTAACCTATACGCATCCCTTTGGAGTGGTGCGTATAGGTTAGGAAAAAAGCACCACCGTTTTCCCCGAGATGTAAAAAAAAATTTCCCTTTATTTTACACTCCTAAGTACAAGGATATTACACAAATGAATGATTAAATGAGCAAATGAATAAACAAATTTTTGAAATTTATTACTCTGAAACTATTAAAACAAAATATGAGGCAATAAATGATACACTAAACTTAAGAAAAATGTACCTATGTTTTTTCAGTTACAAATATATGATGTGTAACCCTTTTGCTGTATCTTATCTGTAATCACGTTCATATCAAGCTTTCTGCAAGTTCTTGCAGAGTTTTCAGTATTGATAGTTCATAAACAGTGTCTTAATCACAAATAATTTGTGCTTAATTTAATGGCTTACAAAATCTCTGGGCCTTAAACCATTAGATTTTTTTTCATGGAAATATGTCTTAAGTTTATGAACCATAGATGCCAAAAACATCATAGCTACTGGTGAAAAAAAAAATTTATACATTTTTTTTAAAAAAATTCGTGTATAATTTTTTGCAACACATGTCTTAGTTTCAAAAATAACAAATTTGTAAACTTTTGTTTATGTTAGCCCTAAGCAGTTTTGTGTTCACAATAAGAACAAAAAAGGCCTTTAATCGTAATACAAATGAATTGAAAAATTTTTTACTTAAGGTTTTATTGATATAGAAATAAAATGTTTTTCAAGCAATAAATTTTAAAATTATAAAAAGCAACAAAGTTACTCTGAAAACATTGATTTTATAATTACTACAATTTGCATAACAAAATATTCTGTACATTATTTTACAAACAATAAAAACTCTTTTTCTATACAAAATAATAAGTATAAAATTTATGGCACACTGGGACAGTTCACCGCACATCCATATCACAGTTTAAAGCTTTGGTTGTTTTCCGTGTACCCTAAATCGGTAGAGACAGGTGTATTCCATGTTTCCCCAATTGCTAAGAATTTTCAACTCCACAAAAGAAAAAGCATCACTATATGTAGTCTGAAATTAAACAGTATATAAAGTGATTATGAAGTTACAAGCGAGTAAAAATATACAGTCAAACCTCAACACTTTTAACTCTAAGAGAAACCCCTAACAACTTCCATGCATTTAAAATCATAAAATTTTTTCATGTGTTAAGCAGGTTCCCCAGAGTGTATCCGGCTATTATTTAAAAGTTATTTCTTCATAAGTCACCATATTTGCTTTTTCATTTGAAATTGCATTGTGTAGAAATTCTTTGTACAATTTCCTCTTCTGATATATCGCCCGATGCTCTTGTATTTTTACATTTTTCAAATTATCACATAATGCAACATTATTATTTAGATTAACTACTAAAAAGTACAAGTTTCTTTTGAGGCCGAATAATTATAAAGTTTAATCCAATCTTAAGGAAAGACCTTTTCTCTGAACGCATATTTTAGCTGTCATGATTCAGGTGATTTCTTTTCAAAAATGATAATATCTTTCTTATTCATAAAAAATTAATGAGAATCTTTTAAGGATATGAGGTTAAGAAAGCATTTTAAAATATTTGGAAAAAGAAAACTTTGGTGAAAAGTATTTCAGAAAATCAAGGGTCAACCAGAAATGTATTTGGCTAAATATATATATATTTGTGGATATAATCGTGTGGGCTGATGAAATGATTATCTCTCTTTTTTTTCTTAGTTTTTTTTAGATAAAATTTCATCTTTTTTTTTAAAATCAGTTTGTTATTTTTTTAATTATTATTTTCCCCCTTTTTTTAATATGTCTATAATTTTCCTTTGTTTTATCTTCATTTTGAACTATATATATATATATATATAAATTTCCCTTATAAGAATAGAAAATGAAGATTTCTCTAGCGACATCCCTAAATTCATGCAATTAAATAATGATATAATGCCTATTGTGGTAACTTATTTTTATCACGAAAAATTAAAACTTAATGCCTATAAAATATAAATGAAAAATAACTGCTACAAAACTATGAAGATACTTAGAAAAATAAAATACAAAACATTTATTGTAATCTGTAAAAGATAATAATTTTAACAAAGGTTGAGTCTTATAGTTACCTGCGCAGGAAAATATTGAAGAGAATCTTCATATTGGTCAAAGATATAATCACCAAGTAATTTTCCTTCATTATCTTTCTCCGAAACTAGACCCTGAAATAAAATACTTATAAATATATACCTGAAATAAAATACTTATTTCATACTTATTTACAAAATATCAGTTTAATAGGGTTTTTATGCAAGTCATAACTAAAGGAAATGTGCTGGAAAGTGTTTTTCTTTTATTAATTTATTTATGTGATACCATTTTTAATTTCATTTCTAAAAAGTTCAATAAATTTAACTATTGCAATTTTTATATAAATCTTCTGGGATCTTAATATCTAATTTGCAACAAATACTTAAAAGTACAAATGTAAAACGTTTTGAGGAAAAGAGAAATACACATTCTTTTAATTTAATTTCTTTTGGTTAGTTTATTATCCATCAAATTTTGAAATTAAATAGCTATAATTAGCTAAATGAGATTTAAATTTATTTATTAGTATAAGAACTGAAGTATTTATCTTTGTTACCATTAGATTCAGAATACTACAGAGTTAGCCCAGGACAGATATTTTATAGGATCAGGTGGGGGAAAGTGTTTTATATACATTGAATTCACATAGATCAAATATGAGGCATAACTTATTCATTTTGTTTTATTGTTTTCTTATAGTAATGCATTCAAAAGAGCATGTTTTGATATAACTACTTTACTCTAGAGGGGGGTAAAGTGGGTATAGTTCTAAAATTAGTATAAATTTTACTAAATAACTTTTTTAAAACATATTGTTCTAGATATAAAAATGCTCTCAAACAAATGTATCATGATAATATTTTTAAAAAAAAAGTAATTTTTTTTATTATTAAATTAAGGAGTTAACGTTTATGGTTATCAAAATTAGGTATCACTTCGGATGCAATATATTTCGCTGAACTCTACAAAATTTCATTAAAAAGCAAGAAAAGTGTAATAGTTTTTGGTTTATTTGAAATATAAATGAGAGAGTAAATATTAATATATAGAGAGTTAATTTAAACGCTTTTACTATTTATAGCAGGCATGTATTTTTAGTGAATTTAGTTTAGGAATCTTTATTAGTTTTCCATGAAAAAACACCATATGAATGCAAAAACTTGCACGAAGACTCATCTATATCTTTAAATATGCTCGCTAAATTATACCATTATGCTATTCTGGTAATTCTTGGATTGTGTGATACTTCTGTTATATTGTTAATCCCCATTCTTCTCTTTTAAAGATAAAATTTAAAAGAAATTTTGTTTTCGGCATTATAATTACTATAAAGAGCTATAATCCAACAAGTAAATTATTATCCCTAAGGGATAAAAAAGGACAAGATGAATATAAATATTTATTTCATCCTCTCTATGAATATAAATATTTATTTCAGAATTTTCTTTTGATTTTCGAAAAATTTACACCAGTATTTGTGAATGAAATCTTACCCAAACTTGGAAACCTTTAGGTGCACTGTCAATAGATCCTGAAGGAGACAAAGAGAGAGGTATGTGTTCCATGGTGAATCCAGTCACTTGTATTGTATATGATAATTGTATCACCAAAAAACCTTGGCTGCCTTTAAATGCCCAGCACTTTCCAGGTTGCATTTCAGGCTAAAGATAAATTCATCGTGATTTTAAAAACTAAGCTACTTTTAATAATGCAAAAAATATGTCACATAGGAAAAATTGGTTATTCTCCATGGGTTTGTTTAACTAATTATAGAAGTCCAATTATAAACATGATTCATAATCAGAATTAAATCAGGTTTTTTTTAAAGATATACATTAAGAACTTAAGTTAAAATTTATAGAATAATTATAATTGAAATACTATTAAAATAAATCAATAAAGTATGCATTTGTAACTCTATTACTGAATTAAAAATTGTTTAATGCATGTAGAGGTACAGCTCAAATTTATTAAACTGAAAAGCAAACTAAAAAGAAATCAAAATTAATTTCAAATTTTTTTTTTGTTGATATAAAAAAAAAAAGATATATAGGGGAGAGTCGGGTAGCCCCGCCCACCTAAGAAGTTTTGCTTATATTTCTGTATAATATTGAGTAATAATCAATATTTTTGTATGTTTCTATTGTTTTACCATCTAGTTAAATTATGCAAAAAGAATAAACCAAAAAAAGAATAGTTTAGCTTAAAAAAATAGAAATTTAAAAAAACATGTTTTTTAGCTCCTTTCAAGATGTGTCGGGTAGCCCCGCCCAGTTACAAAAATTGGGTTTTTTGGCTATTTTTCAGGTGTAAATGACAATGACCAATGTATCGACAATAGATAAA